ACACTGTTTTACGTACTGTTTGACGTTGTTTACCATACCTGGCCAGTAGTAGTCTTGACGAATCCCATGGTAAGTCTTGTTGAAGCCGTAGTGGGAGAATGCTCCGTGGGCCAGGTGTAGAATAGTGGGCCGCAGGCTGGTGGGAATCACAAGTTGTTCGGTGTTGGCCCAATCGTCCTCCTCCTTCAGTTTACTGGGTCTATATCTGCGGTAGAGCAAGTCGTTCTCTAGGAAGAACCCAGGAATACTGTCGGGTTGAGTCTCAGCCTGGAAAAACAATGGTGTTAAAGTAAGATCTTCCCTCTGCAACTTACGGAACTCCAACTTGGTCAGATGCGGGGGTAGTTTCTGAGGGTCTTGAGGGACAGCGGTAGCAGTAGAGTCAGCTGGCTTTGGACGTGCGGCTTGTGCACGGGTGGTCACGAGAACCGGAGGAGAAACTTCATCACTCTCTTGAACCTCTGCTGGAACATACTCAAGAATAGGGTTACTTGGCACAGAGTTACACACCTGGGGTTTGTCCATGACGATCAGGTTGGTCGGTTGCAGGTCTTCTGCCAAGTCGTTGCCTAGGAGAAGTTGCACTCCAGGCATGGGAAAAGGCTTTTCCCGGACGGCGACTTGGACTTCCCCGTTCACGTAGGGACAATCCAGGTGGACTCTGGCGAGAGGGTATGGAGTAGTAGCAGTGAGGTCAGTGATGAAGACTGTTTCCCCGGTGTAGACGATGTTGGGCACAGCCGACTTCAAGATGATCGATTGTAGAGCCGCTGTGTCCCTCAAGATCTTCAATTTGAAACGTCCCTCCGGATTTGAACCGTTGGCAGAGACAGTTCCAGTATACAGGTGGTTACTGAAAAGAGAAAGATCATTAACATCAACACCAACATTCATCACAGGCTTACCGGACTTAGGAGGAGTTGGTTTGGGTCGTTGTTGGTCAGTGGTTCCCTTGTATTGAGACTTACCACACTAGTCTATGGTATGTCCATAGAGTCTACAATATTTGCAGTACAGTTGTGAACCAGCTTGATCGGGGCTCACCTTCTCGTAACTGTACCACGACTTCTTACTGGAGGATGGTTCAGGTGTCAGCCGGTGGATGAGGCTGTAAGTGTCAGCCGACTTAGCACACTTCAGGTAGTCGGTTTCTTCTTTATCTGCTAAGTAGAGGCGGACAGGAGGCGGCACACGTCTCAAGAATTCTTCAACAAGCATCAGGTTGACGAGTTCTGTAAAAGTAGAGACATGTGCTGCTTCCAGCCATTTCATGAAATACCTCCGTTTCGTGTTAGCAAACTCGAGGAAGGTAGTGGTACTTGCCTTCAGGTGGTCACGGAATTTCCTTCTATAACTTTCGGTGGAAAGTAGGTAGGCGTCTAACACTGCTTGTTTCAGAGTGTAGTAGTCATTCTCAGACGCCAAAGTACTGAGTGTGACTGCAGCTCTACCTGTAAGATGGACTCTGAGAAGTGTTGCCCATTGGTCGACAGGCCAACTGAGTTGATTAGCAAGGGTTTCAAAGGTGGTAAAGAACACATCAACTTCTGCTTCTACAAAGGATGGCATTAACTTACTTGCATGTGATATATTAAAACTGACGGGAAGATTGGCAGTAGCTTGCTGGCGTTGAGCGAGGTGTGAAGTTTCCAACGTGTATTCCCGTTGACGACACTCAAGAGCCAGAGTCGCTTGTTGCTTGTCATGTTCGCGTTGTATTTCCAACTCGCGTTGTTTGGTTTCAAGCCGTACGCGTTCCCGCTCCTGGAGTAAGGCAATCTCACGTTCTTGTTCTTCTCTCCGTATGGTAGCTGCTTCTCTTTGCTGCTCACGTTCAATCTTAGCCAGCTCTAGTTTAAGTTTCAGCGTTGCCAAATCAGTTTTATCTGCAATATAGTAAGTTTCATGAGTTTCAGAGTCTATCTTACCTTGCTCTAAATAGTAATCCAGCAACAGGTTGTGTAGGTCATTTTTGTTGGCTTGGTAGGGAACTTCTAGTTGATACTCATGTGCAAGAGTTTGTAATTCAGTCCTCTTGGCACGACTTAAAGTCCCTATTTCACCTGCTGGATTTGCACGGAAAGTTTGGAGACGAAACATGGTGAAATTAGCAAATAAAGGTACACGAATGTTCAATAATGAAATGTCAGAAACAGGACAACGTGGCAACTGGTACCTATCCTGTGTGATCTTTAACAATTAACGTTAAGTGAAAGATATTAAATTAAATCAAGGGCGCAGGAAATCTTGTACCCGGTACTCATGTAAGAGAATAAGGGCAAGAAAATCCTACTAACAAATGAAACAAAGTTTCGAAAACAAATGAAACAGTTAAATGCTTCAAAAGTAAAATTGGTAGTCCAAGGATGTAGGCATACCTTGCCAAGTCTCTAAAGGACATAAAGCAAGTTTTTCCCACTGAATTTAATATGATACTTACAGAATTAGCGAACTTTTGTGCTCTGAAAAAATAAGCTAATTCCCTACCGTTGTATGTATCATCATCTCTGACTGACGTGTAGGGGTGCGAGGTGTCAACTGGTGACGAGAACTGCTGCTGAGGTCCCAATTCAGCAACTAAAGTTCGAGCTAGAGGAACTATGGCCCTCTTTGTCCTCCTACAGTCAGATTGCAGAAGATTGGGTACTCTTGACCCGGGGCAGACCACAGTACCAGGGTACCAATATGATGATCTGTCAGAATGAGAAATATTCAAGGGACATAGATGGTAAATACGAGTAATAACAAGGAGGGAGAGATGACCAATTAAGAGTATGACTGCGGCCTACAGTCACCACGTAATCCAAAGTTGTCTCACCTTCACTATATGTTACTCTCGTAATGCACAATACACCGCACCTTATAAAAAATGAAATTGAATGAAAAATAGTAAAGCTACGTTAACAAAGTTAAATACGCTTACCATAAATTACCACTTGGCACCAGTACCTGAGTGAAGCTCCTAGGACAGGCCCCCATATAACTATGTGACGGTAACGCGTTGGTGTTCGGCTGTTTAAGGCTAGGGGTATGGCCTCGTCACATAGTTATAAAAAAAAAAATAGAAAAACTGGAACTTCGTCTGTGGTAAGGTAAGGAGAAGACACACAAAACACAAGTAAAACTTTAACAATGAAATTTTAATTACGTTAAATAAATCAAAACATGAAAATAATGCACAAACAAATTCTTATAATAAAATCAATCAATCAAAATAATAAGAATACTTAAATGACACAATGAAAAGTTACGTTAAGGCAAAATAACAAGAAGTGCAACACAAAGGTAAGTGGGAGGTGCTGGAATATTGGCTTAAAGCCACCACCTCTCTCAGTACACGCTAACGTCTAGCTGGGAGGTGTGATGGCCACGAAAGCACTGAACATTCTGAGGACTGATGTTGGGGCGACCCCAGACATCAGGTAGTATTGGGGGGGGCGAGGCAGGTGCAGCCAGACCGGCGACCAATCAGCGGAGCCGTAGCGATCAACGGGTAGTTTGGTGGTTGGAGTTCGAACAGGTGGCTGGCTGCATACGTTTCTGCTCACCCTGGCAAGCCTTGCTGGTGTTGTTGTCGTTGTTGGACATTTCTTCCATAGTCTTTTTATATAATTGTGAAGACGTAATTATGGAGGGAAGAGCAGGCTCAATCTCTTGAAGGAGATTATCGTCACAACATATATAGTAAAACTACAGTAAAAGCTCCTTACCAATAGGTCTTCTGCCTGTTTGAAGGATTAGAAAGGTATAGTTAGATTTATAATAAGAATATCAATAAATCCTTTTTTGATTGTGGTGAAATTCGTGGTGGTGCAGTGGTAACACACACGATATCACATGTGCTAGTTAGCACATGGATAGGTAAACAACCTTGTTCACTTGTTTCTCACATATTCCCACAAGAGACACATTTTCATCCGCCTCAAAAAAGCAGTCACAATGACTTTTTTTCTTGAATAATTTAGCACGACGGAATATTTTTGGCTTCCTCTGAGTGGGGAAACATTTTCTTCTATGTCGACTCCACGAGTAAAAATGTGAAAGGTTTCATTAATTTTGATTATTTAAGGCTTCAAAGAATCTTGGTATGTAGTCATTTGCATATGCAAAGACCTATTAAATTAAATTTAAGGGAACTAGAAATGATATATAGGATGTTTTGAAATAGCTTTCACCTGTAAGGGGCTGCCCTGCTGCCTTGGGGGGTACAGGTAATTAACAGAAGAGGATTCTTCTGATAATTACCTTTAGGGAACATCTGTTACCTTGTCTATTGTCCCACAGACTGCTGTGGGCTCCTTACAGTGACTCCTATTTCCCTATAGACGATTGTCAATTACCCACAGTAAATCCCACAGACCAGAGTCAACCGTCCACAGTAACTTCTCACACACTTATCTCACACTGATCCCTCACAGACCAGTGAGACACTAACACCCCCACAGACCAGCCTGGCCCTCCCCACAGACCAGAGAGACACTAACACTCCCACAACACCCCCAGAGACCAACCTGGCCCCCCACAGACCAGAGAGATACTAACACACCCCCACAACACCCCCACAGACCAGAGAGACACTAACACCCCCACAACACCCCACAGACCAACCTGGCCCTCCCACAGACCAACCTGGCCCTCCCCACAGACCAGAGAGACACTAACACCCCCACCAACACCCCCACAGACCAGCCTGGCTCTCCCCACAGACCAGAGAGACACTAACACCCCCACAGACCAACCTGGCCCTCCCCACAGACCAGAGAGACACTAACACCCCCACAGACCAGAGAGACACTAACACCCCCACAACACCCCCACAGACCAACCTGACCCTCCCCACAGACCAGAGAGACACTAACACCCCCACAACACCCCCACAGACCAACCTGGACCTCCCCACAGACCAGAGAGACACTAACACCCCCACAACACCCCCACAGACCAACCTGGACCTCCCCACAGACCAGAGAGACACTAACACCCCCCCAACACCCCTACAGACCAACCTGGACCTCCCACCATCAGCGGCTACAAGACAGGAGAAGTCCTCGTAGCAGGAGAGAGAAGGACCCTAGTGTGCCGGGTGTCAGGGGGCAACCCGCGCCCCTGGGTCACGTGGCACCGTCAGGGACTTCTGCTGGATGACACAACCACCTCAGACGCCGCAGGGGTCATCAACACCCACCAACTGACAGCCACCGCTGCTGACGACGGCGCCATCTATGAGTGTAGAGTCAACAGTGACCTCCTTCAGGAGCCTATGGTGGCCAATGTCTCTCTCACTGTGTACTGTGAGTACTATCCCGGGCAGGGATTGGGATAGGGAGGGATAGGGATAGAGAGAAACAAGAGCTATCTAACCTCTAAGTACCAGAGCACACTTGTGGTTGGTTAGTAAGCTGAAGCCAGATTCACGAAGTAGTTATATAAGCACTTACGAACCTGTACATCTTTTCTCAATCTTTGGCGGCTTTGCTTACAATTATTAAACAGTTAATGAGCTCCGAAGCACCAGGAGGCTGTTTATAACAATAACAACAGTTGATTAGCAAGTTTTCATGCTTGTAAACTGTTTAATAAATGTAAACAAAGCCGTCAAAGATTGAGGAAAGATGTACACGTTCGTAAGTGCTTGCGAAACTGCTTCGTGAATCGGGCCCCTGTTGTGGTAGCCGTAATATCCCTCCATATGTTGATAGACCTTATAACCAAGAGCTTTAAAGCCTATTAAGGTGGAGAGTATGTGTTTTAATTGGCCAATTGAGTTTTAATAATTCATAGACCTATTAGTGCCTTGGTAGATCTTAATAGGCCTATTTAGGTGTATATGTGCTGACAACCAAATCCACACACACACACACACACACACACACACTCAATTCCCGCACCAGGCAGAAACAATTGGGCAAAGTTTCTTTCACCCTGAATGCCCCTGTTACCTAGCAGTAAATAGGTACCTGGGAGCTACTCAGCTGTCACGGGCTGCTTCCTGGTGTGTGTGTGTGTGTGGTGTGGAAAAAAAAAGTAGTTAGTAAACAGTTGATTGGCAGTTGAGAGGCGGGCCGAAAGAGCAAAGCTCAACCCCCGCAAACACAATTAGGTGAATACACACACACACACACACACACACACACACACACACACACACACACACACACACACACACACACACACACACACACACACACACACACACACACACAGCATATCATATATTTTTGCCCAATTCCTACAGAAAATAGTCATAATATTATTAAACGCAATAATACTCCAGTTCAATATACACTTTGTTTTTCAATGTGATGTTAAACTCTTTTTAAAATATATTTTGTTTTACGATGTATTTGGTAAATCAGATTAAAAATGGGTTATTTCCCTGCTGATCCCATTACATTATTGGAATATCATTTTATTGATAACTAGAAAAAAAAATTCCAATATAATTATTTTCCCTAAAAAACGGTGACAATATATTAGTTTCAGCAATGTAAAAATATGTAATTTTTATTATTTTTATTATTTTCCGTGAGTAAACATCATAGTTTTGTGGAACAGCTGAACATTAATAAAATTATTTACTTCATAAAATTCCCCTTGTAATTATAACATCTTTGTCAACAGATAAATCTATTGGAGGTGATAAATAGAATTTTCAAAACAATTGAAAATTTTCAAAGCCTTTTGGGTCAACTCTCCATCTATGCCCTCAACCATTTTCCCCTCCCCAGTGGGAATCGAACCCGGGATCCCAGATTACGAGGTCGAGAATGAAGCCAACTCTCTTTCTAAACATATTGGGCTCAAACTAACCTCACTTGATATACAAAAGTGGATTTGATAGACACTTAAGGATACCCAATCAATTGAACTGTAGCTCATTCGCTAGACTGCAGGCAGTCAAACAGCCTGATTGATCAATCAGGAGGCCTAGAGAGAAAACAGGCCAGAAAGGGACATTGATCCCCGAAACATCCCATTGTAACTTCGAAATAATAATGGAATCTATTATTGAAAAACAAGCTATTATTGATATTTTTATCATTATAAACAGATAGGTCGCTTCCATTACCGTCTGAGAGTATGGAGAATACTCACTACCCCTTGTTTCTGTCTCCTGTCTCTCGCTCCTGTCTCTCTAGGCTCCTGTCTCTCTAGGCTCCTGTCTCTCGTTCCTGTCTCTCTCTGGCTCCTGTCTCTCTCTAGGCTCCTGTCTCTCGTTCTTGTCTCTCTTTAGGCTCCTGTCTCTCTCTCCTGTCTCTCTCTCCTGTCTCTCTCTGGCTCCTGTCTCTCCTTCCTGTCTCTCTCTAGGCTCCTGTCTCTCGTTCCTCTCTCTCTGGCTTGTGTCCCTCGTACGCACCTGTTTCTGTCTCGCTCGCTCCTGTTACGGAGTTAATAAAAGCGGTTACATAGCCAGCATTCTCTTCAATACGTCTCTTTGTCTCCTGGCATCCGGTATAGCCCCAGAAGTGCCGTTCGCACGTTCGATCCCACTGTTGCTGTGTTTTGTGACTGTCTTGAGATGGGTCAGTATAATAAACAAGTAGTCAGGTGTGTGCGTTTATGCGGTGGGCAGGTGTGTGTGGTGTTTGGTTAGTGGTTAGGGCTTTGGAGTCTTACTAATGAGCAGGTGTGTGTGTGTGTGTGGATGACTTGTCAATTGTCAGGTATGTGTGTCCTAAGGTGGTCAGGTATGTGGATCATGCTGGCAGTCGTGTGTGTGTGTGTGTGTGTGTGTGTGTGTGTGTGTGTGTGTGTGTGTGTGTGTGTGTGTGTGTGTGTGTGTGTGTGTGTGTGAGAGAGATGCGGTCTTGTCGAAAGGCCTTATAACCAATGATTTATTTCCCTTGAGGCTTTCTTCATAGGCCAGACCTGTATCACCTTTATAGTCTTTTATTTAATTTCTCATTTCCATCACCTGGCATTTGCTGGGATTGAACTCAAGTAACCATCTATGTGACACATTGTATAGCTTTTGTGTAATCCTTTAGAGCAATTTGAAATTTCATCCACAAATAATATTTAAAAACTATCAACACAACATTAAACACGAAACAATGGAAATATTTTAAGTAATGATTCAGTGAAAAACCTGGGTAAATACTGGTTTCAGAACAGGGAGGGTTGGTTTATGGAATAGATTACCGGGTGACATAATGGAAGTGCGATTGCTAGATTGTTTCAAGCGCAGGATAGACATATATATGAGCTTTGGTGGATATATATATGAGTTATCTCGTACGGGTCATTAAGAAGTTTACTTAATTGTAATGTTTAAATGTTCTCAAGTCTCTTTAACATGTTCTTCGTTATTAAAGAACAGTACTTAAGGCACTGTTATGGGGGAACGTTGTTCAAGGAACTTGTTAGTCAAGGATAACAGAACATATTGTACTTCCATAACATATTTTGTTCTAGGAACTTGTTATCCTCGGTCCTAGAATAGCAGAACACATTGTTCTCCCCTAGCACCTAGGATAACAGAACACATTGTTTCTAGCGCCTAGGATAACAGAACACATTGTTTCTAGCACCTAGGATAACAGAACACATTGTTTCTAGCACCTAGGATAACAGAACACATTGTTTCTAGCGCCTAGGATAACAGAACCCATTGTTTCTAGCACCTAGGATAACAGAAAAACATTGTTTCTAGCACCTAGGATAACAGAACCCATTGTTCCCCCCTAGCACCTAGGATAACAGAACCCATTGTTCTTCCCTAGGACCTAGGATAACAGAACCCATTGTTCTTCCCTAGCACCTAGGATAACAGAACCCATTGTTCTTCCCTAGCACCTAGGATAACAGAACCCATTGTTCTTCCCTAGCACCTAGGATAACAGAACCCATTGTTCTTCCCTAGCACCTAGGATAACAGAATCCATTGATCCCCCCTAGGACCTAGGATAACAGAACCCATTGTTCTTCCCTATGACCTAGGATAACAGAACCCATTGTTCCCCCTAGGACCTAGGATAACAGAATCCATTGATCCCCCCTAGGACCTAGGATAACAGAACCCATTGATCCCCCCTAGGACCTAGGATAACAGAACCCATTGTTCTTCCCTAGGACCTAGGATAACAGAACCCATTGTTCTTCCATATGACCTAGGATAACAGAACCCATTGTTCTTCCCTAGGACCTAGGATAACAGAACCCATTGATCCCCCCTAGGACCTAGGATAACAGAATCCATTGATCCCCCCTAGGACCTAGGATAACAGAACCCATTGATCCCCCCTAGGACCTAGGATAACAGAACCCATTGTTCTTCCCTAGCACCTAGGATTACAGAACACATTGTTCTTCCCTAGCACCTAGGATAACAGAACCCATTGATCCCCCCTAGGACCTAGGATAACAGAACCCATTGTTCTTCCCTAGCACCTAGGATAACAGAACCCATTGATCCCCCCTAGGACCTAGGATAACAGAACCCATTGATCCCCCCTAGGACCTAGGATAACAGAACCCATTGTTCCCCCCTAGGACCTAAGATAACAGAACCCATTGTTCCCCCCTAGGACCTAGGATAACAGAACACATTGTTCTTCCCTAGCACCTAGGATAACAGAACACATTGTTCTTCCCTAGCACCTAGGATAACAGAACCCATTGTTCTTCCCTAGCACCTAGGATAACAGAACACATTGTTCTTCCCTAGCACCTAGGATAACAGAACCCATTGATCCCCCCTAGGACCTAGGATAACAGAACCCATTGATCCCCCCTAGGACCTAGGATAACAGAACCCATTGTTCCCCCCTAGGACCTAGGATAACAGAACACACTGTTCTCTCCTAGCACCTAGGATAACAGAACCCATTGTTCTTCCCTATGACCTAGGATAACAGAACCCATTGTTCTTCCCTAGCACCTAGGATAACAGAACACATTGTTCTTCCCTAGCACCTAGGATAACAGAACCCATTGATCCCCCTAGGACCTAGGATAACAGAACCCATTGATCCCCCCTAGGACCTAGGATAACAGAACCCATTGATCCCCCCTAGGACCTAGGATAACAGAACACATTGATCCCCCCTAGGACCTAGGATAACAGAACACACTGTTCTCTCCTAGCACCTAGGATAACAGAACCCATTGTTCTTCCCTATGACCTAGGATAACAGAACCCATTGTTCTTCCCTAGCACCTAGGATAACAGAACACATTGTTCTTCCCTAGCACCTAGGATAACAGAACCCATTGATCCCCCTAGGACCTAGGATAACAGAACCCATTGATCCCCCCTAGGACCTAGGATAACAGAACCCATTGATCCCCCCTAGGACCTAGGATAACAGAACACATTGATCCCCCCTAGGACCTAGGATAACAGAACACACTGTTCTCTCCTAGCACCTAGGATAACAGAACCCATTGTTCTTCCCTATGACCTAGGATAACAGAACCCATTGTTCTTCCCTAGCACCTAGGATAACAGAACACATTGTTCTTCCCTAGCACCTAGGATAACAGAACCCATTGATCCCCCCTAGGACCTAGGATAACAGAACACATTGTTTTTCCCTAACAGATGCGCCCTCGTCAGTCAGTGTATCAGGACCAGCCCAGATACAGGAAGATGTTGCTGTATCTCTTACTTGTGAGACCAGTGAGTCGAATCCTCCTGCATCTCTCACGTGGCTAATTGATGGTTAGTAATTGCTCTCTTTATCTCTCTCTCTCTCTCTCTCTCTCTCTCTCTCTCTCTCTCATACGCACACACACTCAGTAGTTAATAAATCGATTGCATTAGGCAGTGATGTGGTGGAGGCTGAACCCATACACAGTTTCAAATGTATGTACATTAGAATAGGCTCAGGAACCTGTACACCAGTTGCCTGATGGTTGAGAGGCGGGACCAAAGGGCCGAAGCTCAACCCATGCAAGCACAATTAGGTGATGAGAAATAGGTGAGTACACACACACACACACACACACACACACACACACACTTTCTCAGAGACCTACACACACACACACACACACACACACACACACACACACACACACACACACACACACACTTGCCCAATAGAGATTAAGCTCTAACATATATATCATTATGATATCCAATAATGACAGCTATAAACACATTTCCTAGAAGATGAACCACTCAAGATAACGTTTCCTGACCATGATATCAATCATCTAATATCTATCCTGCTCTTTCTCACTCTCTCTTCTCCCTCCTCCTCTTTCTGGCTTCTCTTCCATTCTCATTTATCACGTTTCGTATCTTACTAGCTTCTATTTTACTTCATGTTAATCTTCTGCCTGTTTCTCTCATTCCTGTTATTTAACGACGTTCTCTTCTACTTCTCATTCTCTCATACTCACAGGAGAGGAGATCGGCTCATCGAGAGAAATTATGAGTCGTGTGAGTACAGGAGGCTGGGCTACGTCCTCGGAATTAACTCATTTTGTTAGGAGGTCGGCCGAGACCGGCCAGATAACAGTCGAGTGCCGAGCGGTCAATCCGGCTATCGAGCAACACGTCTCCAAGACTATCACTATGGCTATCACAAGTGAGTGTTGGTTATCAGTCCCGAATCCCAAGTTATCTGAGCCTTCTATCCAAGGGCTATATTGTCGAAATGACTTGGCGTTTTAAACTGATGATTACGTTCTTGCAGGTTGGAGTTCGATTGCCAATGGTTCACGAGGTTGGGAAGAGTTTTATTTCGTGCGTTCCTAGCTATTTGTTATCATATTCTAGCTCCTTGTCTTCATATCCCAGCTCCTGATCTTCATATCCCAGCTTCTTGTCCTCATATCCCAGCTCCTTGTCCTCATATCCCAGCTCTTTGTCCTCATATCCCAGCTCCTTGTCCTCATATCCCAGCTCCTTGTCCTCATACCCCAGCTCCTTGTCCTCATATCCCAGCTCCTTGTCCTCATATCCCAGCTCCTTGTCCTCATATCCCAGCTCCTTGTCCTCATACCCCAGCTCCTTGTCCTCATATCCCAGCTCCTTGTCCTCATATCCCAGCTCCTTGTCCTCATATCCCAGCTCCTTGTCCTCATATCCCAGCTCTTTGTCCTCATATCCCAGCTCCTTGTCCTCATATCCCAGCTCCTTGTCCTCATACCCCAGCTCCTTGTCCTCATATCCCAGCTCCTTGTCCTCATATCCCAGCTCCTTGTCCTCATATCCCAGCTCCTTGTCCTCATACCCCAGCTCCTTGTCCTCATACCCCAGCTCCTTGTCCTCATACCCCAGCTCCTTGTCCTCATACCCCAGCTCCTGATCTTCATATCCCAGCTTCTTGTCCTCATATCCCAGCTCCTTGTCTTCATATCCCAGCTCCTTGTCCTCATATCCCAGCTCCTTGTCCTCATACCCCAGCTCCTGGTCCTCATATCCCAGCTCCTTGTCCTCATACCCCAGCTCCTTGTCCTCATACCCCAGCTCCTGGTCCTCATATCCCAGCTCCTGGTCCTCATACCCCAGCTCCTGGTCCTCATACCCCAGCTCCTTGTCCTCATATCCAAACCCCTTGTCCTCATATCCCAGCTCCTTGTCCTCATACCCCAGCTCCTTGTCCTCATACCCCAGCTCCTTGTCCTCATACCCAGCTCCTGGTCCTCATACCCCAGCTCCTTGTCCTCATATCCCAGCTCCTTGTCCTCATATCCCAGCTCCTTGTCCTCATATCCCAGCTCCTTGTCCTCATACCCAGCTCCTTGTCCTCATATCCCAGCTCCTTGTCCTCATATCCCAGCTCCTTGTCCTCATATCCCAGCTCCTTGTCCTCATATCCCAGCTCCAGGTCCTCATATCCCAGCTCCAGGTCCTCATATCCCAGCTCCAGGTCCTCATATACCTCCCAAGTGGTATACAGTCATACTGCTTTTATCTATACACTAACAACATATGAAGTCGTATAACCATATGAATAATCATATATATTTTCCCTGAACATTGTGATATCAATTGCTATCATTTGGTGTTTGTTGGTGTACGCAGAACCTGCCAGTCCCCCCGTGTTTGAAGGCAGTCCACACAAGGAAGTTGTGTCTGGAAGTGTGGTTGATCTGAGCTGCAGTACTCGTGGAGGTCAGCCACCACCAACCGTCAGGTTGGTCCACTGGTATTCTGTTTCTATGTAATAGTTTCATTATTGTGGGTCATCCACCAGTCTCAGGAGACTATATGGAGTTGCTCTCTGGTTGTCGGTCTGGAGTGGCCTCTCCAAGGTGCAAAGAGAGGGTAGGTTGATATGGAGAAGGTGTTACCCATGCAGCAGGTATATCTAGACTATGAGTTGTTTTTGATTGATTTATCATTAGCTGGGTTTGTGGTACGTGGTACGTGGTACGTGGTCCTCGTACGTGGTTAGCCATTTGGTATTGTGGGATTCTATCATGTGGCCATGTGGTACCCTTTCACCACATGGGCATGTGATACCTCTTCACCTACATGACCTGACTTCTCTGCTGCATGGTACAGGTTTGAATTCCTCACTAGCAGTCCTGACTACCCTGCCAGATAGAATAGGTTTGAATTCCTCACTAGCAATCCTGAATACTCTGTCGTGTAGTATAGGTCTGAAAACCCTACCGGATACTAAATGTTTGAATTCATTTATAAATTACTTATTAACAGCGTGCTTGAATTCCACGCCAGTATTTGAACTCACGTTCATATTACAGAGATTAAAAAAACGTGAATCGAGTTCAATATTGTATTATTGGGAAAGAAAACTAATTACAAGATTTTCTATGAAACAGAAATTCTGTTGTCCTTATACGATAAGAAAAATATTGGAATTTTTTTATGAAGATATAAACTATTTTTATCATTAGAAGTGTAAATGATTTACAGATTTTTGTGAATATTAAGTCAAAGCATTTGGAGCATTTACTCATCTGGAAGATCAATCTTAAACATTATTGGAGCATTGACTCATCTGGAAGATCAATCTTAAACATTATTGGAGCATTTACTCATCTGGAAGATCAATCTTAAACATTATTGGAGCATTTACTCATCTGGAAGATCAATCTTAAACATTATTGGAGCATTGACTCATCTGGAAGATCAATCTTAAACATTATTGGAGCATTTACTCATCTGGAAGATCAATCTTAAACATTATTGGAGCATTGACTCATCTGGAAGATCAATCTTAAACATTATTGGAGCATTTACTCATCTGGAAGATCAATCTTAAACATTATTGGAGCATTTACTCATCTGGAAGATCAATCTTAAACATTATTGGAGCATTGACTCATCTGGAAGATCAATCTTAAACATTATTGGAGCATTTACTCATCTGGAAGATCAATCTTAAACATTATTGGAGCATTGACTCATCTGGAAGATCAATCTTAAACATTATTGGAGCATTTACTCATCTGGAAGATCAATCTTAAACATTATTGGAGCATTTACTCATCTGGAAGATCAATCTTAAACATTATTGGAGCATTTACTCATCTGGAAGATCAATCTTAAACATTATTGGAGCATTTACTCATCTGGAAGATCAATCTTAAACATTATTGGAGCATTTACTCATCTGGAAGATCAATCTTAAACATTATTGGAGCATTTACTCATCTGGAAGATCAATCTTAAACATTATTGGAGCATTTACTCATCTGGAAGATCAATCTTAAACATTATTGGAGCATTGACTCATCTGGAAGATCAATCTTAAACATTATTGGAGCATTTACTCATCTGGAAGATCAATCTTAAACATTATTGGAGCATTTACTCATCTGGAAGATCAATCTTAAACATTATTGGAGCATTTACAAATCTAAAAGGTCATAAAAAGGTCATATTGTAGTATTATCAGACCATTTACCCATTTAAAAGGTCAGTAATTAGTCTTAGTGAAGTTTTTTTCAACCATCAGCAAAATTTCAAACTTTCAAAGTCAAGCGTTGATAATAAGCATTGAAGCTTTTAATAAATTTGAATCAGAATGTGTTCAGAAGTTGAACAATCGTTAGGTATAGTGACCTAATGGTAGTGATAGTGAACTGTGACCCCGTTACTGTGTCTCACAATCATCTGCTGGATGGATTGGATGACTAATTATTTATTGTAAGCACTATAAGGCCGTCAATTGTATTATTAATTCATTTAAATAACATTATATAACCCTGTATGAAGACATTTTTCATTCTATGGAAAAAAGGATTATGTGTTATGAAAGTATATATATATATATATATATATATATATATATATATATATATATATATATATATATATATATATATATATATGTCGTACCTAGTAGCCAGAACGCACTTCTCAGCCTACTATGCAAGGCCCGATTTGCCTAATAAGCCAAGTTTTCATGAATTAATGTTTTTTCGACAACCTAACCTACCTAACCTAACCTAACCTAACTTTTTCGGCTGCGTAACCTAACCTAACCTATAAAGATAGGTTAGGTTAGGTTAGGTTAGGTAGGGTTGGTTAGGTTCGGTCATATATCTACGTTAATTTTAACTCCAATAAAAAAAAATTGACCCCATACATAATGAAATGGTTAGCTTTATCATTTCATAAGAAAAAAATAGAGAAAATATATTAATTCAGGAAAACTTGGCTTATTAGGCAAATCGAGCCTTGCATAGTAGGCTGAGAAGTGCGTTCTGGCTACTAGGTACGACATATATATATATATATATATATATATATATATATATATATATATATATATATATATATATATATATTATACATTCCTTGTATATTATAAAGGGCGTGCATGTATATTGTTGTATTCTGTCAATGCATATATCCTTTTATACTGTCTCTTAGGGTCAGGTGCGAACTCCTTATGCAATTGCATTTATTGCAGGATCTACAAGGAGAATGCAGTCATCCCCAGCCAGACCATTCAGGATCTGAACGTGACACGAGCCGTAGCCGTTGTTGAGGTCACACCTGTGGATAATGGAGCAAAGGTCACCTGTGAGGTCACTAATCCAGCGAGTGTTATGCCTCTAACTACCTCGTTCAGACTCGCTGTCCGCTGTAAGACTCCCTCAAAATGTCTCTCATAATTACACACAGATATCACACTAACGTGATACATCCAATGAACAAATCCACAAGGGCCGTGACGAGGATTCGAACCTGCGTCCGGGAGCATCCCAGACACTCAGTCGATTAAGGCAGTGTCTGGGATGCTCCCGGACGCAGGTTCGAATCCTCGTCACGGCCCTTGTGGATTTGTCTCTCATTATGTTCATGCGATATTCCTCATTGGTGTCGTGAAGCGTGTGGGAGATATCTCAATGTTTCTTTCTGAGTTTCACCTCTGTAAGGTGTTAAAAAATAGATCTCACTTTGTCATTGTTATATTTAGGTGTCTGTCACTCTCTTTCTCTGTCTCCCCTTTCTCTCTCTGTTATTGTAATTCTCTCTGATATTTCTCCTTGCTTATCTATAATATCTCACATTCTATGTTCCCTTCGAATGTAAAATGTCTCAATATGCAGGCGATGAGTCACAATAACGTGGCTAAAAGTATGTTAACCGATCAACACACTAGAAAATGAAGGGACCACGACGTTTCGACGACCTGTAGAATGGTCCAGGACGGACCGAAACGTCGTCGTCACTTCATTTTCTAGTGTGTGGATTGGTCAACATGTTCCAATATGTATTCTACGTTCTACCATAATATAATGTCCCAATGTCTTCCACTCCACAGGTACGATATTCCTTCTATATGTCCTCGACTGCGAAGGCAAAAAATTATCTCAATATATTTTTAGTTTCCAGTTATTTTGGGAGAGTTTATATGCCACGCAAGAACCCTAAAAAGTGAGAGAGCCATTATCAAAAGACACATAAAATCTCACTTCAAAATGAAATAAGTTGGACATGAAAATTTACAAAACGTATTTTGGTATTTAGGGAAGAGATGAATGGACGAGTCAAAATTTCGTCAAAGTGGTATTGCTCGTAAAACTGGTATGAAAAATGGAGCTTATTACCTCTTGCATGGAGGGTTATATAATGAAATTCTCATAATTTCATTCATTTTATGAATGTGTGTTTCTGTGTGCGTTGGTGTGCTGTGTATGTGTGTAGTTATTGATGTATTGTGTGTGTGTGTGTGTGTGTGTATGTGTGTAGTTATTGAAGTATTGTGTGTGTGTGTGTGTTGTGTGTGTGTGTGTGTGTGTGTGTGTTTGTGTGTGTGTGTGTGTGTGTGTGTGTGTGTGTGTGTGTGTGTGTGTTTGTGTGTGTGTGTGTGTATGTCTATGTCTATGTGTGTGTGTGTATGGCTGGCCATACTCATATTCCCATTACTGGTTCAGATAACTCTTAACTCATTGAACAGTGCTCAGTCTAATTTTATTAACAAAACATTAATAAAGTTAGAATACACTTAAAACATACTTCAATGCTTATTTCCATTAAAAGTTCAAGTGCTTATCATCCCTTATCAAAGCAGGTATATATATATATATATATATATATATATATATATATATATATATATATATATATATATATATATATATATATATATATTGTGTTGCCACTTGTGTTGTCCCGTCTTGAGTACTGTTCAGTACTCACTTCCCCCTTCAGAGCAGGAGAGGTTGCTGAAATAGAGGGAATACAGAGAACATATACGGCACGCATAGACGCAATAAAGCACCTAAATTATTGGGATCGTCTCAAAGCTCTCCAAATGTACTCACTAGAAAGAAGACGAGAGAGATACCAAATAATATACACCTGGAAGATACTGGAGGGCCAAGTACCAAATCTACACAGTAAAATAACAACGTACTGGAGTGAACGACATGGAAGAAAATGTAGAATAGAACCAGTGAAGAGCAGAGGTGCCATAGGCACAATCAGAGAACACTGTATAAACATCAGAGGTCCAGTGAAGAGCAGAGGTCCCATAGGCACAATCAGAGAACACTGTATAAACATCAGAGGTCCGCGGTTGTTTAACATCCTCCCAGCAAGCATAAGAAATATTGCCGGAACAACCGTGGACATTTTCAAGAGGAAACTAGATTTATTCCTCCAAGGAGTGCCGGACCAACCGGGCTGTGGTGGGTATGTGGGCCTGCGGGCCGCTCCAAGCAACAGCCTGGTGGACCAAACTCTCACAAGTCAAGCCTGGCCTCGGGCCGGGCTTGGGGAGTAGAAGAACTCCCAGAACCCCATCAACCAGGTATATATATATATATATATATATATATATATATATATATATATATATATATATATATATATATATATATATATATATATATATGCGAACAAGCCTGAATGGTCCCCAGGACTATATGCGAATGAAAACTCACACCCCAGAAGTGACTCGAACCCATACTCCAATATATATATGAATATATATATATATATATATATATATATATATATATATATATATATATATATATATATATATATATATATATATATATATATATATATATATATTATTCCTGAAGCTGATTTGGGAACTTTTCCAAGTTATCATTCACTAGTGAAACTTAGAAATGAACCAATCCAACTTTCCTCTTTCGTTCACTGCCTCTCTGAATATTGCATACTAACTTGCCCCCAAGATTTTCAAGGGTTTGATCCCAACTCGCGCCCTCTTAAGATTTCTTATATATATTTTTGGAGGATTTTAGAATTATCTGAGTCTTTCTTAATGCTGGTTTCTCTGTAACTATGTGTATATGTCTATTATTTGTGTCTATGTATCTATTGTATCTGTCTATGTATCTATTGTATCTGTCTATGTATCTATTGTATCTGTCTATGTATCTATTGTATCTGTCTATGTATCTATTGTATCTGTCTATGTATCTATTGTATCTGTCTATGTATCTATTGTATCTGTCTATGTATCTATTGTATCTGTCTATGTATCTATTGTATCTGTCTATGTATCTATTGTATCTATCTTTGTTTTTATACGTTAATTTTCTCTATTTTTCTCTTTCTGTATGATTGTTTATCTGAAATTGTCCCTTTTTTACAGTCTCTCTCTCTCTCTTTTTCTCTCTCCCATTTTCTCTCTCTGTGTCTATTTATCTCTGTTTATCAGTAAGTTTTCTGTCTGTCTGCCTGTCTCTCTCTCTCTCTCTCTTCTTGTTAACTGTGTCGACAGGAACAGTGAACAGTGAGTGACCTCTTGTTCTTCTCTTCTCCACAGTTGCTCCGTGGGAGGTGTCAGGCTCCGTCACCCCCACCACAGTAGAGGAAGGAGCCATAGTGAGGCTCTCCTGTGAGTCCTCCTCCAGCCTCCCGCCCTCCAACATCACCTGGAGATCTGAGGAGATCACCCTAGACGGTGCTACCATTACCAACACCCAGGGGGCCTTCGGAGGCACCAGCACCAGGTGGGTAGCTGATTGTGTCTCTTCTATGGCAGTGGAAAGCCTCAGGTGGTGTGTAGAGTCAAAGTGGATAAATGCAACAGTGTCTGGAGTCTCATTCATCGTGGAGGACTAACACTGTGTTTAAATGAGGCAAAACAGAGCATGCTGTTGCAACACATTGCTTAATTTATGGCGCTGCTTTCAAAAAAAACTTTTTTTCTTGCTAGAACTTGACTACATCTCCTTCTTGGCCAGATCTGAGTTGCAACGGAGGACAACGGCTCAGGACAACGGGAAGATGTTCGTATGTGAGGCTAGCAACGGTCTAGGCGTTCCTGTTCACACGACACTCACTATCCGTGTTCTACGTGAGTATACCGTTATCTGTTGCTGGAATGAGTCTCCTGTTGTTTGTGGCTTGAATGAGTTCTCCTGTTGTCTGTGGCTAGAATGAGTTCTCCTGTTGTCTGTGGCTTGAATGAGTCTCCTGTGTCTGTGGCTTGAATGAGTTCTCCCGTTGCCTGTTGCTAGAATGAATCTCCCGTTGTCTGTGGCTAGAATGAGTTCTTCCGTTGTCTGTGGCTTGAATGAGTTCTCCCGTTGTCTGTGGCTTGAATGAGATCTCCCGTTGTCTGTGGCTGGAATGAGTCTCCTGTTGTCTGTTGCTGGAATGAGTTCTCTCGTTATCTGTTGCTGGAATGAGTTCTCCCGTTGTCTGTGGCTTGAATGAGTTTCCTGTTGTCTGTGGCTTGAATGAGTTCTTCCGTTGTCTGTGGCTTGAATGAGTTCTCCCGTTATCTGTTGCTGGAATGAGTTCTCCTGTTGTCTGTGGCTCGAATGAGTTCTTCCGTTGTCTGTGGGTAGAATGAGTTCTCTCGTTGTCTGTGGCTAGAATGAGTCTCCCGTTGTCTGTGGCTTGAATGAGTCTCCTGTTGTCTGTGGCTTGAATGAGTTCTCCCGTTATCTGTTGCTGGAATGAGTTCTCCCGTTATCTGTTGCTGGAATGAGTTCTCCTGTTGCCTGTGGCTAGAATGAGTTTCCTGTTGTCTGTGGCTTGAATGAGTCTCCTGTTGTCTGTGGCTTGAATGAGTTCTCCCGTTGCCTGTTGCTAGAATGAATCTCCCGTTGTCTGTGGCTTGAATGAGTCTCTTGTTGTCTGTTGCTGGAATGAGTTCTTCCGTTGTCTGTGGCTAGAATGAGTTCTCCCGTTGTCTGTGGCTAGAATGAGTTTCCTGTTGTCTGTGGCTTGAATGAGTTCTTCCGTTGTCTGTGGCTTGAATGAGTTCTTCCGTTGTCTGTGGCTGGAATGAGTTCTCCCGTTGTCTGTGGCTTGAATGAGTTTCCTGTTGTCTGTGGCTTGAATGAGTTCTTCCGTTGTCTGTGGCTTGAATGAGTCTCCTGTTGTCTGTTGCTGGAATAAGTTCTCCCGTTATCTGTTGCTGGAATGAGTTCTCCCGTTGTCTGTGGCTAGAATGAATACTCCTGTTGTCTGTGGCTTGAATGAGTATCCCGTTGCTTGTTGCCGGAATGAGTACCCTGTTGGTGTATCTGTTGTCTGTTGCTTGCGTGAGTACCTACTTCCTGTTTCATCATTAATAAAAACCTGAAATACGTGACATTATAACTACAGTAAATAAAATACTGAATAAGCTGTTTATTCCGTGTGTCTTGAAATGCCCAGGATAAGTTACTCTTAAGTAGTCTACAATGACAACTGCTTTGTTGCATTGTACGATGAAGATGATGCAAGATCTCTCATGCTCAGCCTCATATTCACTCACTTTCTCACTCTCATATTCACCGGTTATTACTCACCTACTCTTTCACTATCTCCTTCTCTTCCTAATTTAAGCTGGTATTCTCACTATCGCAAATATAAATTCAATTCCATCATTGGCCACCTGGTGGGTGGCTTAATCTCCATCAATTAATCAATTAATCAATCAATCAGATTAACACACGTCAATATTGACGCAATAGGTCAGCACCGAGTTATTAACGAGGTTATTTGGGTGATCAGGGCTCGAACTCTCGTCACAACGTCAGTAGACGCAAATTTAAACTTCTTTCCAACGAAGACGTAACGTGCCTTGCAAGCCTGAAACGTAACTTAAACGTTCGTTTAACGTTTCAACCTTTTACATAGTTGTAAAATGTAAAATAAATGTGATTCCTTTTTTTTTTTTGCTCGTATGAATTCAGGAAATGTATTCAGAGCAGAAAAAGTGAAAAGCAAAGAAAACAGTCATCTGAATTTTCCAAGCTGACAAAGAACAGGAAGCACCAAAAAATCTATGCCTCTGAAGAATGAATCTTTAACATAATAATTATGCAAATTTTCGTAAATGTGTGCAGCTCGGATGCGAAATCTATTATGCCATTTGGTGAGGAAACATCGTCTTATTCAAGGCGCAAAAGATTCATTTATTTGCCTGAAATGCAGCCGAGCTTTCAGAGGTCTGATAAAGAGATAGAAGTTGACAGGAACATTGACGGCATTCTAGAGTTCCTAGTTTACTGTATTTACAATTTTAATGTTGCAATCGAACTCGGGTCATTAGGACTACGAACCCCGAGCGCTGTAAACTCAGCCGCAAAGCCCCGTGTGTATTCACCGAGTTGTGCTTGCGGGGATTGAGCTCTGGCTCTTTCGGCCTGCCTCTCAACTGTCAATCAATCAACTGTAAGTACTATTTTTTTCTACGCACACACACACACAGGAAGCAGCCCGTGACAGCTGACTAACTCCCAGGTACCTATTTACTGCTAGGTAACAGGGGCATAGGGTGAAAGAAATTTTGCACATTTGTTTCTGCCTGGTCCGGGAATCGAACCCGGGCCACAGAATTACGAATCCTGCGCGCTGTCCGCTCAGCTACCAGACCCTGAGGAGAGAGAGAGAGAGAGAGAGAGAGAGAGAGAGAGGGAGAGAGAGAGAGAGAGAGAGAGAGAGAGAGAGAGAGAGAGAGAGAGAGAGAGAGAGAGAGAGAGAGAGAGAGAGAGAGAGAGAGAGAGAGAGAGAGAGAGAGAGAGAGAGAGAGAGAGAAGAGAGAGAGAGAGAGAGAGAGAGAGAGAGAGAGAGAGAGAGAGAGAGAGAGAGGAGAGAGAGAGAGAGAGAGAGAGAGAGAGAGAGAGAGAGAGAGAGAGGAAAAAAGAGGACTAACATACATGTGTGTGTGTGTGTGTGTGTGTGTGTGTGTGTGTGTGCGCGCGCGTTCAGACTACATTTATTCATACCCTTTATACAATGAAACTATTCAGGCCATTAAATCAAAGCAAATACAATTTAACATTCGCTGTATGATGCGAAAATAAATTAAATCACGAAAATATAAAATTTTCAGCATTGGATGCAACATATACAAAAAATTATTGTATATATCTCCGAATAACGACATTCAAATTTATTTACACTTCAATAATTTTACATTTCTTTAATACATACTAAAATATATCTCAGAAATGATTGGAATTGATGAGTGAGTGTGATGTATTAAGCAAATACAGCTGTATTTGTATTTGTCGACATTGAAGAAACAACAATGTTTCAGTCTGTTCAGCCACGTTATTGTGACTCGTCATCTGCACATAATCACTGAACAATATGATAATTCTAATTAAATAATTAAAACACCCAAGTAATTTATCTTTACAAATTAACCCTAAAAATCATTACCAATTTATTAAATGGTTAACCAACTGAATTTAACAGACAAAATTACCATTTAAATACAGTAACTCAAAGCCATGAGTGTAAAACCGAATTAAAAAAACTTGATATATGATGCTAGAACCAAAATCTTTTAGAAATTGCGTCAATTGCGTCATTTGCGTCAATGCTAACTTACAAATTTTGCGTCTGATTTCCTTCATGACATGAATATAAAAAATGATGATTTAAAGACTCCTGTCCTATACACTAATCAAATAAATATAATTAATCCATACTATCTGGTAATTAATGATAACTGGTTATCTTTCTTGCTTGTCAATCAACTGCTAACTACCTGTCAGTAAAAGGAGAAATATCTTTTGTTTACGAGACGCATGGAGAAATACACTATATTGTATAACATTATACATTATGTTGTATGTAGGAGTATGCTAGGAGTATGCTAGTCAATAAACAACTGGCTCATAAGATATGTCGCGAGGGCAGTATAGCGGTACTTGTCCCCGGAAAGGTCTGTAATGTTGTTGTTAGTGTGTGTGTAGTGTGGTTGGTCCCCCACACTACACACACACACACACACACACACACACACACACACACACACACACACAACACACACGCACACACGATCTCACGCACACACACACACATGGAGGAACAGAGATTTATAGCATGTCTCGTCCGTGTTTGAGAATTTTAACGGATGGGTGTGAAGTAAGGTTGAGAGAGAGAGAGAGAGAGAGAGAGAGAGAGAGAGAGAGAGAGAGAGAGAGAGAGAGAGAGAGAGAGAGAGAGAGAGAGAGAGAGAGAGAGAGAGAGAAAGAAAGAGAGACATCACAAAATACCCACATGAAACGGTGGAAAAAAGACCTCAAATATACACAATAAACACATCTAACCATACAAATACACATAAACTTGATAAACAAAAGAAACACTAAGATCTTGTAAAATATTTTAAGCTCGTAGGGATAGTATAAAAGAGTAATGGACTGAACCAGGAGATTGCAGACGCCAATTTCACTCATAACTTAAAGGGTAGAGAAGATAAGAAGAAGATAAGAAGAAGATAACAGGACGGAGTTGATCTGTAAACTGACAATTTCAGTGCAGGAAAGCGGATAGAAAAAGAGCTAAAACTCAATCCTGCAGTCATAAGTTGGTGAGATCTCTCTCTCTTTCTCTCTTTCTCTCTTTCTCTCTCTCTTTCTCTCTCTCTTTCTCCCCCTCTCTCGTATACTAGATATAAGGAACATAAACCAACTAATTCGCTAATATATAATATCACCATCATTTCGTATGAGACGTTCACAGCGTAATTAGATATTTACTGAGGTCACTCCCTGATAAGGTCCAGTAATATCCAGAGTGCTCTCTAGTAATGAATAGTAAGAACTAATTCCTAATAAAGGTTTCCTCAGCAATAAAGGAACGTTATGACTCCTGCGTCACTTTAGTTATCAATTATTTATGTATCTGTGTCAATAGCAAGGGATAATAATTGTAATTTTTGCTAAATAATTGGAAGTAATTTAAATAACCCACGTGGATTATTAGAGAAAATGTAGATAGTTCAATAAAACTTGAACAATTATGGATAAAATAGTTAATTATAGATAATCCATGGATAATTGTAGACAAGTTTGACAGGAAAACAGGATTATGTAAATTTGTTTTCGATTTGTTTACCCTAAA